GTGCCACATCCCGCCTTGTAGGGAGGCTTCGATTAAATACCGAAGTTCACGATTAACTGTTAGTCCCGTATTATTCATCAGAATAAATTACTACTACTTTTTATATGTGTATCTCCATTTCACGATACAACACTATCTATCTACCCCAGTTTGTTAATATCTATCTATCTATTTATCGTGCCAAATTTGCTATATTCTTGAGGGAAGATTGCTAAATATTTTTAATAGAGAATTTGTTGTTACAAAAAAAGTGCATATGGAATTGTGGGAGTAGAAACACTTCATTTTAACAGGTAGTTTCACAATGTAAGCGACATTCAGGCCATATATTGTTGTAGATTCAAAGTTTGCTATATTAAATTGAGAAAAGGTGTCAATATAGGAGAAAGAGCGTTTAATGCGTGAACCTACTAATGAACACTGTGGGGTAGGGATTTTCTAAGTATAGCTTAGGTGTGGCACAAGGCTGAACATAAGTGCCACCTAGTGAGGATCGAAGTCACTATTCAGCCTTAAGTTGATGTAGCGAGACAAAGTTTACTAATCATTACACTCCGTCGAATTGCCCAAATCAACCCTAAGTTTATTATGAGAGAGAGAGAGAGAGAGATAGATAGAGAGAGAGATAGAGAGATAGATATATAGACATATATAGATATAGAGATAGAGAGATATATATACAGAGATAAAGAGAGAAATATAGAGATAGATGTATATATATATATAGAGAGAGAGAAAATAGATAGAGATAGAGATATATAGAGATAAATATATAAATATATATATAGATATAGATAAATATATAGATAGAGATAGATGTATATAGACATATATATATAAATATATATATATATAGTGAGATAGAGATAGAGAGAAAATATAGCGATATAGAGATAGATGTATATATGTATATATATATATATATATAGAGAGAGAGAGAGAGAATAAATATAGAGATAGTGATATATAGATATATATATATATATTTATATATATATATATATATATATATATATATATATATATATATATATATATATACATTTCATTAAATAATATAGACAAGTGTTGTCTATTTATTTTATGTAAAATTTTTCGTATCTTCTGATAAGTTTGATAACATTATCATTAAACGAAGAAAGAAATTCACAATATTTATCCATTATTTTTAATATAATCTAAGCTTTCGGCCTACTTAAGCCATTATCAAAGATATAAATCACAAACATATTAAACAATATACGGACACGGCAGTGATGATAGTCTGTCATTGTTTACATAGTGGATCACTAAGCAACGATAAACACGCGCATATAAGACGCTAGAAGCGAAAATCGCACCGCATCTCATGACGTCACACATGACTACACGAGAGTGAGTTGTAGAATGAAATAAGGAAAGCCGTTGGTATAAACCAATGGCTTCTCTTACCAATTATAGACATTATAGACATTTAAGAATATTTGTAGACATGCCATAATTGATTTTGTTTAGGTTGGGTTTTAACTGTTTGATGTATAATGCTTCAAGTATTTTTAGTTTTTGTCTATTGTTTTCATGTCGAAGTATAGTTGTGTTTTCGACAAGTATTTTACGGAATTGTGTGTGCGGGCAGGCATGTTGTTTTAAATGCCTAAAAATGTTAGAGTTTTCATTAAAATGTAGTGTCATATATATATAGATAGATATAGATATATACAAATATAGATAGATATATACAGATATAGATAAATATATGCGCGGATGCGCTGTCTCTTTCAGTCTCTCCTCTCATTTCTCCGGGTTGACCAATCGAAATATTTGGCGTTCCTACTTCTTTGTAATGTCATCCTTAATTTAGCCTCCCAAAGATCAGTTAACAAGATGTAAGTGACAATTATATTCTTACCCTATTTTTTATCCAATTCAAGGCTCCATAGACATTCAAAGTAGAAGTTTATTTAATGAGGTTGGTTTATGGGCGAAAGAATTGCGGAAATCAAGGTTATCAAAAATAGATAAAGATTTTCTCTGAAGTTAAAGAGGTTAAGATTGCAGAGGTAGCAGAATCATTATCTCCAGAATCTGATTCATAAAGTAATAGTTCTGGGGAAGCAGCTGTCTAAATGAAACTTCTTCTTTACCAATGGAATATGAAAAGAACTTGGATAACACGAACCTGTGTACGTAGCATGCCAAAAATTTAGCTTTTTTGACTATCCTCTAATTTATTACACACCTGCAACCATTATCACTGCAGGTATCGTCCTGGGTATGACGATAAACTGTATCCGCGTCCTGGGTAAGACGATAAACTACATCGGACAGCAAGGATTCTATTCAGGAGGTTTTGAGGAGCGTGGAACAACCTCTTAATTGCTGACTTTCCCAGGTCTACCTTGACCCGGGGTGGTAGCACCTGTTGGGGTCCCAGCTGCGGGCAAGTAGTTGCCCCCATACTGATGTTGGGGCGCTGTGAAAGTGTAGAAATTGGTTTTAATACCAGCAATGTGTTTTTGAGTAAAGATTGTTACCAGCAATACATTATTACCAGCAGTGCATTTTTTAGGAAAATGAATAATACTAGCAGTGCATTTTTGAAGAAAAAAAATATTACCAGAAATACATATTTGAAGGATAAAACTATTAACAGGAATACTTTTTGTGAATAATTTTTACCAGCAATACATATTTAAAGAAAGAAAACATTATCAGCAATACATTTTTGGAAAAATATTAGCAGTAATAAAAATCTTGTCTGCATTAAATAACCTATTGACGTTGATATACAGTAAAACACAACAAGCATTGCAGATGTGGCAAACTAAGTTATTATGTACAGGGCTTGACCTGTTTGGCAATCTTTGTTCGTGGGCATTCATTTAATAGTTTAAACTAATTTTTTATATTTTCCTAAAATTTGATTCAGTCGCTCTGTATGCTTCTGTGTATTGATAATAAAGTAAAAAAGGGATTGTCAGTGGTCAGGAATAAAAGTATACCTGACAGAATAGAATTATTAGTTACTCTTTTTTTTTATCCGTAAAAACACTAAGATACCTTGAAACAGCTGTTACCATTTTTTAACGATATAGATGGAAGGGTTACATGAAAGATACGATCTCACAAATTCACAACGGGTTTTTCGCAACTCACTAAAGTAAGGCCAATAATAAAATCGATAATATGTTCGATATCTAAAGGTACAGGATTATGATACTAGCCACACCATCGCCAGTACGTTACTTTTATTGTTTGGTTTATCTTATGCCCCATAAAAAAAGATTAGCTAAGATCTTTGAAATCTTCAGCAAACCTTCTTGTCTTGTTGCTGGAGTTATTGATTTTCTCACCTCAAAATTAAACCGGATTTTATCGAATATGAGACGAATTATTTCCGAAACTAAGACGATTTTTTCTCACAATATCTTCAATTCCAATTTGGCTTATCATTGCAGGAATGGCTATAAAATTGTCGCTTCTGAAAAACACTGGAATAAATTCCTTAGATTTATTTCATTTACTTATAGCTTTTTTTCTATTTTCCTTGACAGCACTCTAGCTATTCCAGCTTCTTGTATTTTATTTCATAAGATTTTTCCGCCTCTAGGAAAAATCGGATGCATATATGAAATTCGGGGTAGAAAGATTATGTTTCACCAGATGTCCAAGACAAGGAGTGCCTATTTTCCCTGAAAATTTGTATTCGAAACTGTATTTTTTTATTAGATGGACTAGATCATAATGCTATGATGGCTGTTCACTCAAGGACACATGGTACAGTGGATAATGGCGTTAGTTAGATCCAGTGACAGGAGCCAAAGAGTTGTGAGTTCAATATCTGGTTAAGGCAGTGGAGAACTTTCAGAGGGAAATTAACAGGAAATAACTGATAACTGACATCCATTAAAACATGGCACGTGGAACTAGAACAGTCTACCCCAGTGAGTGAAATAAAGAGTTCAGTTCGACATTCCAACCACCTGAAGAAAGCCGGAGCGTACAACGGCTTGAACGTTGTAATAAATATGGCGGCAAAGATGAGGACAATAGTCCGAATAATGTCAATAATGTGACTTAAACGAATTTGACTATCGCTGACAATTTTTTAAAAATGTTTTTAGGCCTCGTAAGAATAACAAGAAGAAGCCTTGAAAGCTTATTACAGATGTGGCAAATAAAGTTGTTCTCTGCACGACCGACCTTTTTTTTAAGTTTTGTTCAGCTTGCTAGTGGGCAGTCATGTGACGGGTGAGACGGATCGATTTCTGACATACCCTGCTTGTTAAGTCATACCCTGCTTGTTAAGTCATTCCAAGCATATTACTGATGATAATTTATCAAAGGTCTACAAATATGAATCTTCTTCTGACTGACTGTATTAGAGAGCCATACTCTGCCACGTTCATCTTATTTAGACCGCTGGTCTGCCGGGTCAATGACTGTCCCTTTTGTAGCTGGACGCTCGATTTTTGCCCAACTCATTGAATGTTCTTGGAAGATCTTAGTACCTTCATAATTTGTACAGCTTCAGTTATTTCTATTAAAAGCAACAGTCTCCGCCACCGGAAGTCTAAAAGCTTGGCAGAAGAGATTAGTTGGCTCCAGTTCATATAAGAATTATTGCAAAAACATCCTCTTTTGAAATGTATCGATTTTCTACATGGCGTACAGCAATATAATCGTTTAAACAGTCCCTGAAGTGCTTTCTTGGTTTATTCTTTTGTCGAATGCCGTAGAGCAATTTGTCGTAGAGCATTTTCTTAGGTATTCCGCTGTCATCACGACAAATAAAGAGAAGTCTGAAGCGATGAAGTTACGCTTCGATGCATGAGGTTAATAATGGTTTAGTGATACAAGTCTTGCTAATTAACCCATACCTAGGGGAGAAGAGATGGATTCATACCTTTCCCAAGGGTATTTGCGCCGAAGTGAATACAACGAACCCAACGGGAATTGGAACTTGGTTCTCAGAATAAAAATTCCGAGCCATTACCCATTACGTCAACCAGACATCCAAGCTTACAGCTCTTGGTATTCTTAAGAGGTCACCAATCTAGGTACTGACCAAGGTCGACGTTGCTTAACTTCGGTGATCGTATGGAAACCATTGTTTCAACGTGATGTGGCCCTACACCTTGATATACAGTGGATACCAAGAATCAGTCTTAAACAGTGCTTGGTGGAATCTCTCTCAGCAACCAATTGCGACTTAGTGGCTTTTTTGCCTTGCTTGGTATGAAATGATTAAAAAAGAAACCGGGAAAATAGAATAAAGTTAAGCTTAGAAAAAAAAAGGAAAAAGAAATTTGCATGAATAAAAGGATTTAGAAAGGTTGAAAAATAAAACTGAATAATCCGTTCTGTGTAGGAATGGGATGACAAACAACAGGAAGTTGAATATGCTGATGAACAGAACCGGAAGTTGGTAATGAAATACGCCACCGGAAGTCCAAAAGCTTTGCGGAAGAGATTAGTTGGTCCCAGTTCATATAAGAATTATTGCAAAAACATGCTCTCCCGAAATTTGTCGACAAAATATACAGATACATGCTCGTATCTCTTCCTTGCCAAGAAGATTGTACTCTTCTCTGTCTCGTCCGCCATAATTTTTTTCTTTCTTGTATTGAAGTCAGAATGCTGCGATCACTTGTCTGTATCTTTTTTGTGTGTTAAAACCATTTCTTATTTTGTGAAATTTATCACCTCATTAAATCTTCATGCAATAATGAAATGAGTGGGGGGTATCTAGGAAGTGCTGAAGACAATCTAAGCGCTTCACGATCTTCCAAATAACTGTTTAACAGTACCGATGGCCTTGTGCAAAGACCCGAAACAGGCTTTGTTGTTGTTCATACACATTCTTGTAGATCTGTCTCGGTGTGATAAATGGATATGAAAATTCATATCCATCTTTCCTCTATTAAACCAGAAGTCACACTGTGGATTTGGCGGTATCGTTGCCACAATGTCAGCATTCAGTCGAGATGGCAAAATCCCAAAGCTGATATACATGCGTATTTATATACAAACATGGACACGCACATGATGGTCGATTCGTTAATCGAGTATGACTATTTTAAACATCTTAACATAGAAGGTAAGATAACTATGTGCTTTTAACCTAAATCTTCCATGTGTACAGAAAAATACGTTTATTTGATTAAAATTATAGACAACATAAATTACTTCCGTTTTAAAACTCAAGTATTATGCTATAAAATTAAAAATAATTATTAATTAATATATTTAAAAGTAGAAAATCGAATAAACAAATGAAATAAGTTGTTTGTTTAACGGCATATCAACTTCTCATGGGTCATTTAATGCCGAAATTTAATTTTGTTGAGAGTCTTAGCAATTTCTTTTAAAAAATGTATTGCTGGTATTATCGTCGTTTTTTTTTTTTTTTTTTTTTTAATATAAGGATGTTCTAATAACTTGGACTGATCGTAAATATGAATTAAGTTTGAGTCTAATGATATTTTTCCTTTCAGATTTAGCGGACATTTGGGTGATGTTATTCACACATGCCATGACTTAAATAACATGATCCAATAGAGAAATAAATAAATTTTCAGTATCTGTCTATATTTCTGAGATGAGGTGTTATGTACACTATTTACATTATTCGGACTATTATTCCCATGTTCGTCGCCATATTTATTACAACGTTTCGGCCGTTGTATGCTCCAGCCTTCTTCAGGAGGCTGAAATGTCAAACTGGACACTTTATTTCGCTCATTGGGGTAGACTGTTCTAGTTCCACGTGCCATGTCTAATGCATGTCAGTTATCAGTTATCTCCTGGTTAATTCCCTGTTCAAGTTCTCCACCGCCTTAACCGGGTATTGAACTCATACTCTTTGGGTCCTGTCACTTTATCCACTATACAATGTGTCCTTGAGGACACATGGCACATTGGACAAAGGCGTTAGTTAGATCCAGTGACAGGACCCAAAGAGAGACAGAGACAGAGAGAGAGAAAGAGGGAGTGAGAAAGATAAAGAGAGATAGAAAGAGAGAGAGTGAAAGAGAGAGAAAGAGGGAGTGAGAGTAAGAGAGAGTGAGTGAAAGAGAGAGAAATATACAGAGAGACAGTGCGAGAGAGAGGCAGAGAGAGAGAGAGAGAGAGGATTGAAATTTCTAGGGCGCATAACGATGAAAGATAGCTTAGAAAACGAATAAAGAAAAACTTTTGGAACACATACACATCATGGCTGTCGACTCATTTATGATCTATAAATATTTTAACACATTAATAAATTGCAACCATTGCATTAACAATGTACGCTAGTTTTACACTAAATTTTACGTGCGCATCAGAAAAATACGTTTATTTAATTGAAATTATATGCAAGAGAGATTACTTAGTAGAAGCTGAACTATTAAGCTACAAAATTAAAAATAAATATAAATTATTATATTACAAAGTAAGAATAAAGTAAAACAAATAAAATAACTGAAATATGTACAAGTGACTTATATTACTAATCTGTTATTTAGTATTGGTTCTCCTATTTGACAGTAAATGATGAACAATCTTGATGTAACAGAAATGTGGTTCTACATAAGGATGCTGAGAATGCCATGGTCTGAACATGTGAACAACAAAAAAGTTTTAAAGAAAAAACATCAGAGAAAGAAAGAGACAGATGAAATTTCTGAGTAAAATGGCTTAAAAAACCCTTTGTCAGGATCGCTTTTGCATCCAACATTTTTCTCTTTTAAATATCATCTGAAACAAGTCATTATTCTACATTTTGTCCAATATGTCTTACTGAATTTTTTTAAAACTATATCCTCCTAGCATCAAGTTAAACTGATAACTTTATTTCTTTTCTATGCATCCAAAACTATAATTATAGAGTTTTGGAAAAGAAAAATTTCACTGAAACATGTTTGAACAAGTTTTCATCCAATATCAAGAAATATCAATTTTCATCAAAATGTTTACCATATATGGAGAATGGTTGGCCTCAGTCTAAAATAATGCCAGAAGGATATGAGTTCAGAAAAGGAATTTATCAATTGTCAAGAACATAAAAATTTAATATTAGAATAGATACTGAATATTATTAGAATTAATATTGAATATTAAAAGAATATTTTAAATAATTTTTAAGTGGTTTTACTGATTTTTACTTGTAGTAACATTTACAAAATATAATAGATATCTACTAATCTAAAAAATGTTGGGTTAATTGATTTACATTTTTGAACAGTTGATAATTACATAAATCAAAATAGATGATTACAGATGGTGTTGGATATGTAGTAGCCTGGGGTGTATAACTGATTGATTTAGGTACTAATCTTTTTTTCTTTAAGTAAATGCCATGATAAATGCTAACACATTTAAAATTAATTTAAGCTCTATAGAATTTTCTCAGATATTCCTTTTAGTCTGGTATAAAATCAAAACCAGTTAATAATATATAACATATTTAAAATATTTAATATAAAAAAATCACTTTATTCCTCTAGAGATTTAAGATTACTATCATAGTAATAGAGAAAAACTTTTTACAACACACACATACACACAATGGCTGTAAACTCGTTGAGTATGACTATTTGAAACACCTTAACACAAGGTATGACAACTATTTACTTTAACAATGTTCACTAATTTTACACTAAATTTTACGTGTACATCAGAAAAATATGTTTATTTGATTGAAATTATATACAAGATGGATTACTTTGTAGAAACTGAACTATTAAGTTACAAAATTAAAAATAAATATAAATTATTATATTACAGAGTAAGAATAAAGTAAAACAAATAAAATAACTGAAATATGTACAAGTGACTTATATTACTAATCTGTTATTTAGTATTGGTTCTCCTATTTGACAGTAAATGATGAACAATCTTCTCAAAGATGAAGAGGAGACTTGATGTAACAGAAATGTGGTTCTACATAAGGATGCTGAGAATGCCATGGACTGAACATGTGAACAACAAAAAAGATTTAAAGAAAAAACATCAGAGAGAGAATGTGTGTGTGTGTGTGTGAGAGAGAGAGAGCGATAAAGAGAGAGAATTGTAAAGATAGATTAAAAAATAAAGAAAAACATTTGGAACACACACATATCATGGCTGTCGATTCGTTCATAAACTGTAGCCATTTTAACACATTAACAAATTGCAACAATTGCATTAATAATCTATGTTAGTTTTACACTAAATTTTACGTGTACATCAGAAAAATTGTCTATTTGATTGAAATTATATACAGGATCGATAACGTTGTAGAAACTGAACTATTACGCTACAAAATTAAAAAAAATAAATATGAATTATTATATTACAGATTAAGAATGAAGTAAAATAAATAAAATAACTGAAATATGTACAAGTGATTTATAATTTGTGTCATCTCCATTGTTTCTTAAAACCCGCAAAGGTTTGAAACTTTTTTTGTTGCAAACATTGTATATTTCTATTGTAAGATTTCACATACCTAGTTAATCCGGGCTTAATTCTACTTACTTTATTACACAATGCGCAGGTTAAAAGTGGGGAAATTATGTGGAGGTTTAATTCCATATTTACGTATATAAGTGGTCATACCAGCTTCAGTGACACGGCCAGAAACTTCACACAAAAAGGTGCATTGTCATTATCCACAGACAATCCTTTTGCCGCAGTCCTTTTCACCTTTGCAAAATTTTTATTTTCAAAGAGCTCTAAACCCTAAGAATGATTTTTTTCCTACATTTTAGTCGTTCGGTCAATTATACTGATCTTAAAAGCTGTTAGTGTCTTGTTTATTGAGTGGTATGTGTATGAATGTATTTCCTACTTCCATGATACGTAATTTTGTCCCAGTCACAAGCAAAGCTTAGCAAATAGCAACACAAGGAATAGTAAAAAATGCATCCTAATATCTTTGAAAATAAATCATGAAAATTCATAGATAAGAAAAATAAATCTGCGAAGACCTTTGATCACCTAAGGGACATGACATATAATAAACAGAAAAAAAGTCTTTTTACATCAAGTACCTTTCAGACATGCATATATCTCTGATATATATATATATATATATATATATATATATATATATATATATATATATATATATATATATAATCCATATGGATAATCCCAATGAGGATGAAATCCTGAGAGCTCAATGTTAAGTCAGACCGAATAATTTGATTTAAAGAAAATTTAAATTGATTCTTCGTTTCACCTTTGAAAGTGAAATTTGAAGATCCAGACAAAATAAAATTCTCTAGTGAAATAAATTATAAGAAATCAGGGCCTTAAAGTGGTCTGTTTTTTTCTTCAAATATATATATATATATATATATATATATATATATATATATAAATATATATATATATATATATTAAAAACAAACCACTTTAAGCTTCCATTATAATAATTTATTTCACCTGAGCCCTTTTAAAAGACTCCGGATCATCAGATAGCACTTCCAAAAATGAAACGAAAACTGAAATAAAATTGATGGGTCGTGTAAGTTTTCGTAATTTAACAGAGAGTGTAATACGATTAGTTAGAGAGACATGGTAGAGTTTAGGGAGGGTTTAATTGAATATCTCTCTCAATCATACTTAGTATTGGGGGAGGAGGAGTGACCAGACCTTGACCTATTTAAACAGTTAGATTAACGGAAGTGATATATTGAAATGGGAGGAGAAAAGAGAGAAAAGAAAAAGGAAAAATGAAAAAGAAAGAAGAGGGAGAGGGAAGTAAAGAGAAAGAGGCTGTAAATGGGTTTTACATATTTAGGAGATGGTTGGTAAGTTTTAGCAATTTATGTAAGAAATAGATTTTAATGTTTGATAGTAATTTAGATGTCAAACAAACCCCGAAGAAATTAATTTGATGCTTGCTAGCAATTTAAATATTTAACTTTTTTTTACAAACAATTTAGGGAATTAATATAAGTTAAATACTGTATTTATTATCACATTCATAGAGAACATATTAACATTTTTTTAAACTATAACATATTTACCCGACCAACTCTTTTAATATTGTAAAAGACAGTTTCGGTAACATGTTTATCAGTTTGAATCTAATTTATGAATGTAATTTGTAATTATTTTTAGATGGGTAATCTTTCTTACTTAAATTTTAGGTTTCGGATTAAGATGGATTCATATTTGCAGGTAATATTAAAGATTTTATTTTTTCATATATATACAACATATATATGCTTTTCAAATACATATATATATATATATATATATATATATATATATATATATATATATATATATATATATATAATCAGGCATTATTTCCTATTATTATAAATGTTATTTTTAGTGGGCATATGTGCTTAGGTTGCCATCACTGTTTTTTTTTATTTGTTAAAATTAAATTAATAACGACCATCCTACAAATAAAACATGTGCAACGACTTAACGTTTATCGTAAGAAGAAATATCAGTGGTATTGTAAGGTTTATTCAAAGATATGCTAAACTGAATTAATTCTTAGATATTGCTAATATTTTGTTTTCGCAATACTGGAGTACTTATTAGCAAGGAACGTGCAAGATTCACTCGTATAGAATGGTTCTCTGGGCTTACCTGGAAAAAAACGTCTTGAACTATATTGAAGCCAAAACCGTGGAGTAGGCAAGAAAAAAGGGTTCAATTATCGCTTCCCAATATGTCATGACAATTCACAGATAATAAAAAAGGGTTCTATAGCGAGTCATGTCCAGAGGAATATAGCATTGAAAATGTAATGGTCAGCGATAAATAATTATCAATAATAAATAATTGCTAGCAATAAAACTCATGGCTAGCAAGTGGACCTACTGAATAGACATATCAACATACAAGCTTGGTATGTCTTTTTATGAAAACCATCTTTTCTTTCCTCTGTGTAATGAATTATTTAGATCGTATAGCAGATGATGTGTATGCACGCAAAAAAGCCTAATACAAGCCAGATACATTCTTGCTTTTATTGGTTCACCTGAAAATTGGAGCCACGAAATTCAGAAAGAAAATCTGTGCCAAATAATAGAATTTACGATCTGTGGATTTAGATATCTTGAAGGTGTTTGTCATGGTTGGGCATTCTTGCTTTCTCCATAATCTCAAAGGCAATAGTGTCTCTGGCCGAATATTTGGCTTAATCATGTCATTCTTAGTAAATCAGGTAATGAAGGTTGT